GGAGGCAGTGGGCAAGGATTTAATCAAAACACCCTATATGCTTGTATGAAATTCTTAATAAAGTTTTTTAACGAAAAAAATATTTATTATTTTATATGAGTATATTGTGTGCATATGTGTAAGTGCACTCCATGTCGTGCAATGCCCACAGAGGACAGAAGAGATCATTAGATCCCCTGAAACTGGAGTTATGGACAGTTGTTAACTGCCATGTGGGTGCTGGGAATCAAAACCAGGTCCTTTAGAAAAGCAGTCAGTGCTCTTAACTGATAACCTATCTCTCCAGCCCCCTAAGTGTAATTGTTAAAGAGATAGTTTTGAGGTAGTTGTACATTTTACAAAATAAGTTATATCTAAGGTGTTAGAAAACATGCCTAAGTTCCTGAACTTTTACCCAGAGCACATAGAATATAAAAGCCAACAACACACTGGTTTGTGTTTAACTATCATGAGGAAGTATTTGACCTCCTTGATCAACTTGATCAGTTCTATGAATCAAATTGTCAAAAACCTAGAAAATGTCTGAAGACATTGTTTGGGACCTCATTACATTTTGGAAATCTCTTATGTTGGACTCATCATCCAATTCAGGTATTGGAACAATACGGCTGCAACATACAATGGAATATAGACTGAGACATGGCAATTAAAAGGAAAATTTCCATTTTTTAAGTAGTAAATGTAGCCAGGTATGGTGGCACACACCTTTAATTCCAGCACCCAAGAGGCAGAGGCAGGCAGATCTCTGGGAGATCAAAGCCAGCCTGGTCTACATAGTGAGTTTCATGTCATCTGTCACTGCAGGGCAAATAATAAAGAAATGCACATTTTTAAAAAGAATAAAAGGTAACAAAAAACAGTTATAAGAAATATATACTTGATTTCCCTATGAGCTTCCTTCCTATCATTATTTTTGTATAACATTTCATTTTTGTATTCTCTATATGAATATATTTATATGTATATGTGTATATGTGCATATCCATATAAGCTTAGAAAGGCTTGTACACCAAGTGAAAACCAAATTCTAACAGAGAAACAATCATGAGGTCAACATTGAACCATTGTTTGGAAAAGGAGCAAACACTTTAGAAAGATGCCAGCCCCTGACTGCCCTATACTTATCTTCTAAGCATCAGATCATTTTTCACTGTTGGATTTTATGACTTTAGAGCATGGGTTGTCCACTGGGTATTGAGAGAACCACCTAAGGGGTAAAAGTTGCTTCTTGTGGTTAAAAAATATCTGTCTTTTCAAGTATACCATATAAACGTAAAGAAAAGTACATATACAGTATGTATGTCGAATTAAAAGTGTCATGACAGGAATAGACAATTTTAAAAAATCTGTACTGTGTCTTTAAGGTCACAATGGTGAAACCAAAGTAAAGGCAAAAAAGGCATTAGTAGCAGTGATGGTGATGATCTTAGCTGGTCTCCGTGGTAATTCAAATACTTTTCTTGGATAAGTGACAATTTCTCTAATCCCCTATCCCAAGTATATCTGTTGTCATTATTTACACTTTGCATTCACTGATGAAAGGCTATTAGATATTCTATGTCCTATACTTCATGCTGAATTTTTCCTTTGAATTGCATTTAGAAATCTCAAATGACCTAAGTCCTCAATGAAACTCCATGTAGAATAGTTTTGTTTTTAATAACCAAAAAATATAGAAACAACCAATTTATCCCTTAGTAGGAGAAGGAACAGACAAACTCTGATATCCAAACCACAGAATAATATTCAGCAATTCAAAGAAACCAAATGAATGATATCAGTACTTCACACTTCAAAGACAACACTTGGCTGTTTCTCAAGGGCATTATAATGAATGGAAATAAAGCAAATTGCAACGTTCACACACTGGATAAATTCATTTGCATGACATGCCAAGACTGACAAAATTAGAGAAATGAAGAAAGAGTTAGTGTTGTCAGGACTTAGGGAAAGAAGCAGTAGTGGCTCTAAGGGGCAGCAAGAAGAAAGTCTTCATGGTAATGGAATAACCATGAATCTGCATTGACATGATCATTACATGCCTCTACATAAGCCAATCAGTAGATGTATAGCAAAGTTGAATTCCCAGTTTTAATATTACAATGGTAGAAGGTGTTATTATGGGGAACTGTTGATGAAGAGCACAGACGGCCTGTGTTATCTTGCAACGTGTGAATATACACGTCCTTCAAATTATATTTAAGCACCTGAAGATCTGCCATATTTCTTTTCAACAGTTTTCTAGGGTTTTGTTTTCCTCAAGTCTCAACCTTATTCCATTAATCGCTATTCTTGGATTTGTGGTTATATCGATTCTCAGTCTTTTTTCATCAGACGAATTTATATGATGAATGCATCAAAAGAAGAAATTCAAAGACTTCAGGTCATGAAGATGTGCATTGGCTTTGATTTTGTTAGCAAGTCATATCAAAGTTAACTTTTAAACTAAAAATGATAAAATAGACATATATAAATACAATTTTATTCTCTTTCAGCCTTTTAATAGTATCATTATAACTACCAAGGATGGATTCATATATTTATGTTCATTTTAAGGGGATCATCTTTACACATTCAGAATTGGAAGTATTTATAATTTACTTATCAACTACAAATGACTTTGAACTTATTATTTTAGCATTTGCCTCTTTAGATGTCATAGATCATACTGATCATTCAAACGATTTAATAAATAGTTCATTTTTCCTCAGTTCTAAGAAACATGATTAACTGCTGGGCGTTGTGTTGCATGTCTTTAATCCTAGCACTTGGGAAGCAGAAGCAGGCAGATCTCTGTGAGTTCAAGGCAAGCCTGGTCTACATAGTGAGTTCCAGTCCAGCTGGGGCTACAGGGAGACACTGTCTCAAAACAACAACAACAACAACACAACAAATTTAGGACTGGAAAGCTCAGCAGTAAAGAGCTCAGTTCCCAGCACCCACATGGGGAATAACAACTGTCTTAACTTCATTTCTAGGGGATCTAACACCATCTTCTGACCTTCACAGGCATTATACAACTCAGGTACACTTACATATATGCAGGCAAGGCACTCATATACATAAAAACAAAAATAAAATAAGTAAAAATTTTAATTAGAAATGTAATAGTGTAATTCCTAGATTTCAATGAGTTTATTTCTATGGGAAATATCATAATTTATACTTTTTCAATTCCTTAATCATTAAGCTAACATTCCTTTCTACTCAATGTATGAGTAACTGTAGTTGGTTTTAATGCTTTTCCTTAAATTCATTTTTGTGACTCCCATGTTCCGTGTTTAGACTTGACGCAAATATATTTATATGGAGTCCACACAAAAATTTGTCACAGTCCTGTTCAAAGGAGGAGTGATAGATCAGAAAGGTGCCCAGTTGTTTCACTTCTCATTTGACTAGCAGAATAAAGCCTGGAGTGTGAATATGTTCTAATCCTTCACTCTTTTTTCCAAATTATTCTGAAAATAGCTGTGTTAAATCACAGGAGACTGTATAGATAGCTAAGTCTGCTAGCACATCTTCAGAAAGGTTATATGGCAAGTGTTCCTGCTTGGCCTTTCCTGAATCAGTACCATGAACAAATAGCAGATGAGCAGAGCCCCACCCCAGGCTGAAACACAGGATCACAGGTCCAAGAAGAAAGCTCATGCCCCTGGGCTCCTCTCCCACAGCTTCATGCACCCAAGTCAGAGGGAATGCTTGTTTATCTATTTCTGTTTCTTTTTTTCTGGCTTTACAAATCTTGGTTCTAAGATAATTTGGAAATGGGAACAATGTCAACAAAAGGGGGCTTATTTCTGACATTTCCCAAAGGTGTTAAATGAATAGGTAATCAAACAAAAGGTAATTTTGCCTTTCAGTAAATAAATCTTTTACCAAATAAACAAACAGAAAACCTCTTGGATACTATTTTCTTTGAGGGTTTACCCCATTTCTTTGCTCTATGTATTGTTTTTACATAATCCAACAATTATCTTTGCTTTTCTTCATTTTTCCAAATATTTGCACCTGATAACAATGATAAGCACTGATGAGAAGTTTTTATACAGTATAAAATATACAGTCTTATTGATGTTTAAGAGTGACACTTAGCTCAACTCTAAGTGTA